GGTCGGGCGAAAACCCGCCCCGGGTCAGGACCAGCAGATGGCGTAATGGTTACGTTGCTGGACTCCCACACAGCCGACTGTGGTTCAAGTCCCGGCCAGACAAACTCACATCGGGCGTGTGTGCATGCCCCAAATCCTGAGAACAGAATGGAGAAGGGATGCAGCGTGGCCATCCCCCCTGGGGTGAGCGATTTCTCACTTTCTGTCTCTCTGGCAAGCACACATGCCCGATAGCAAACATTTCTCTCTAAAAAAGAAAAGGGACTCTGGAGGGTGGTGTGTCTGTGTCTCTCTCTCTGAGGGGCACATGTCACAGGTGGTCTTTATCATGAGTAAAAAAATCATTAAAAAATAAGAAAGAAAGCACTTTGTGGTGCGTGGTAATTGCTGCTTAAAGCGACGTCAGGGTTGGCTCTGAAGCCTAGGGGTTAAGGCAGCCAGGTCCCCATGGCCGAGGGTGCAGTACCTGACTAGGACCCAGAGGTTTGAGGGACAAGCTGGGTGCATGTCGTGCACGCCCACAATCCTGAAAGGAGGGACAGATGGAGGAGGACTTGCAGCGTGCCCGTCCCCCATGGCAGGTACTGTCTCCTCTCCCTCTTTCTCCGTAGAGGAACCCACAGAGCAACTGCAGTTCCAGTTACTGGCCGGTCAGCCTAAAGCACGCCTGGCATGTGCACAGCTGCCCGGGGTCCGATGGGCTGGAGCAGAGGAACGATCAGACCCTGCGAAGTGGACTCTCCTCTCTCTCTGCCATGCACGCACTCATACTCTAAGTAAATGGAGATACAAATATTTAAGAAAGAAAAAAATGAGCCAGCAGGTGGCATGGCGGTTGAGGCACTGCACTCCCACGTGGCTGACTGCAGTTTGAGTCCTGGACCTGGCGGCTTGCTTTCTCACTTCTCTTTCTGTCTCTCTCTGGTGAGTGTATGCGCCCTATAATAAATTTAAATAATGAAAACTTAGATTAAATAAAAATTTCTTTAAATAAAAAGGAGATAAAAGAAGTTAAACTGAATAAAAAAATGAAGAACTCAATGTGGTCATTATCATTTTAAGCAAGGGCACTGCTTCCCCATCACACGATTACGATCACACTGTAGTTTAGAATCACCAGCTACCCTGGGAACCAGCAGGTGGCGTGGTGGTTAAGGTGCTGGACACTCCAACCGTGGTTCAAGTCCCACACCTGGTGGCTTGCTTTCTCACTCACCCCCCAAACCCCCTCCCCGTGTGTGTGTCTTGCTCTGGTCAAATTAAAAATGAATAAATAAATAAAAATGAATAGTCATTCAAAAAAAGAGAATCACAAACCACCTCTGTTTTTTTTTTTTTTTTTTTTTTTTT